CCGATTCCAACTAAAGATTATGTAATGCCAACCGTAAAAGAAATCGTCGAAAAACTTCAAGAATTGATCGATTTAGGATTTAAACCAACTGCTGCGGTCATACTTGATATTTTACAACTTTTCGAAAATAGGTTGAATAATGTTGGAGAAAGAATTATCAACTCCTTCATTTCAGTTCGTAAAAATGAAAAACGTGAAGAATTTTATAAGAAAATCGTTGTCGAAGCTATTAAATCAGAGAGGAATATCAAAAAGGTTGAAGTTTTCAACTTTTTGGATCAAATTATTGGAAATAAAAGTAAATCTATTTTCATGGATGCGATGAAAATAATCAGAGGAAAAAGTCCATCTTATTCAATTGGTGGGACAAATGCCATAGAAGATTTTCATTCCGTAAAATCTGTTACCACTACTCCTTGTTATAAGCCCTTATCTTTCAATCTAACGTTTTATAATTGGATTCTCATGAAATTTACTGAAAATTCTGAAATTGCAAAATTTGCATTTAATGATATTATAGAAACTAGAATAGGCTTTGATCTTTATCAAAATTCGAGCGAATATTCTCTTTGCAAATTTATTGAAACAAAATTCATTGAAGCATGCAACATTTTTAAAGTTTATTGTAATGCTCGAAATTTCTTTTTAGTATCATATCTTGAACTTCTTAAAAAAGTTACACATGAAGAAATTCTTTATCCTTTATTTGAATTCTATTTACCCGAATTATTTGACCTTCCGACCACTTTCAAAATTCCGATGCAAATCACGGATGACGCTAACATCTATTTTAAAACTAAAAGAAAAAGGAAAAAAAGGACAATGATAAAAGAACAAAGAATAGAATGGTTTATTGCTATTAAAAAAATTTATAAGGATATAAGGAGGGGTAATTCAATGTCAGATAAGTTTAAAAAATGTGTTGAAGTTCTTTATTATAAACTTAGATATGATGAAATATTTGATGAATTAGAAATGGAATTGGAAATGAATAATAATTCTATTAAGAAACATAAAGCTTGTGAGATCAACGCTTAGATATTATATTATCTTATTATATAGTCATAGATTTATAAATACTTTTTTAATCAACCTTTTATTTTTATTTATTAGTTGGTAAAATACTTTGTAAATATATTGTTAAATAAAATTATATTAAACGTTTAAATTTTTTCGTATTATAAAAAACTTCATAAACAACTTTATATCTTAAATTTAAGTTAATATTGCTAAATTAACATGATATAATCAATAAACGTTGTAAATGTAGAGTATAAATCCGCCAAGCGAAACGAGGCTGAAATATCTTGGGAAGAAGTTCGTCATGCTAATAAATTCTATTTAATTTTACATTATTTATAAACTACGAACAATCGATTTTGAGTATAACCGGCTAGATTTTTAAATATCAAGTCAATAAAGTTAAGTCGATTATAAATATTTTCGGCTATGTTATATTACCATTAGACCGCCTACCACATCTAATTATTAGTTAAAATTGGGCAGTGAAGCCGAATAAATGACGGGTTTATTTGAGTACTTTTAGCGTTAAGTGCACTCATTTCTGCATTTGGTAATATGAATGATAAAGTATGTACTACTAATTTTTATTATTTCGGACTAAAAAAATTTTCTTTGTTCGTATAAACTTTTCTTGTTTGCAATATACGTAAAAGTCATATATACATACATAGTAATAGTTGTCACAAGATAAAAATAAAAGTGATCATAAAAGTGCATGTGAAACGTGATTGAAAAATATTAAATGAAAAAAATCACAAATCAACTCAGAGGTCACATTTAACTTACTCAGATCATATCCAATTCAAGGTCATGTCCCAATGCAGATTACATCGAGA